TCTACAATGATTTCAAAATAAAAGTTTAAACAACAAAAATAACAATTCCCCTAAGTTGCACACATCATTTTTTACTTACATCTAACTGGCTAGACTTAGTCACATGGTCACCTAAACCAACAGGAAACTGGGAAATAGTCTTCATTTTGGGGAACTATGCACTCAGTTAAATTCAGAGAATTACTGACAGAGTTAAACGGATATTTGCAGACAACTGGAAGTTTCTGCCACAGTCCCTATAGTGTACTATATACACAGCAGGCAGTGATCTTTTCAAAATACAAATCAGATCACATCACAGCCTTGCTTAAAATCTTCCAGTAGAGTCCCATTATAGTTAGAACAAATCCATGCCCCTTACTCTGACTTTGGAGGTCCTGTGTGACCTGGAGCCTGTGTGTCTCTCTGGCCTTCCGAGTACTCTCTACCAGAACACAAGCCTTCTTCCCATCACTTAAAACACATCAAGCTAATTCTTGCCTCAGGGACCAGCTGTGCCTTCGGCCTAGAATCTCCTTGGCTGATTCCTTCCTGTTGTTCAGGTCTTGTGAGGCTTTCCCAATTTCTAAATAAGCGCTACATTTTCTCCTTCGTTTTGCTTTATTTCACTATTATATTACCTGGTATTTTGAGGCTTGTTTGTTGTCTGTCTCTTCTTACTAGAAAGAAGGGCCTTGTCTGTCTGATTCACTGATGCATGTCCACAGCCTAAAAGACTGTCTGGCCTCAACAGTACTCAATACAGACACGATGAACACGTGGGGGTGACTGAGCGTGACTCCAGTGTATCTTCTTTGTATCCGCAACACATAGCACAGTAACTGACAAGCACACATTTTGGATGAACAAACAGTAGCCACACATGTGACCTCGCTTTTTAAAATGTAAGCACAAAAAAATTTAAAATGTGGGAATGGGAAAAGAATTGAGATTCCCCCCCACCCTCCTGAGATACCCTGCCACCACTGTTATTTTCAAGGTGGCTCAATTTACCTTTGCTAGTAATTAAATGTGTCTCTTTCTACCTCTTCCTGTGTTAAGCAACTCAGTGGTAAACATAAGGCTTTTAAAATCCAACACAAGATGCTAGAACCACCTACCTGGTGTCTCTGCTCATTGCCATTTCCTATAATGACAGCAGAACAGAGTTCAATTAGAGTCCACATACTATTTGACATGGCAGTCACTTGTTTTTGATAAACTATGTTCCAAAGAACAAAAAAGTACCCAAATTTAATTAAACTCAATCATACTTTACTAGTTAAGAACAAAGATGGATGGTGAACTTTGGGATTACTCCAGCCTACATATGCTAATCACATGCCAATCACTTTAGTAAGAAAGAGTAACTCTGTAGCAGAAGTGCTTTCTCTTTCCTGCAGAATGTGACAAACTCCTCCTCAGTGGAGCTGATCTGAGATGGCACTTTCGTAAGCTCTATTTTAATTACACATCAGTCCTCCTGACTGCACAGTGACTACCCTTCTAACATGATCAGGTCATATTTGAGAGACTACTTGGTATCTTCTAGTACTGTAATTTCCAATGTTACTCCAGGCATATTTAAACCAACATGTCTTCACGTCATTTTCATTAGAAAGGATTGAACTTTCACATTACTATACCCTGTAATTTTGGAAGCAATATAACAAACACGTTGAAGTGTCAGTTCTTGGAGCCACCCTGGTGTTGGAGGTGATTGAGAGGGCAAGGCCTCCCACCAATCACAGCAACTCTGTTCTTTTCTGTTGTCCTTTTTGTTTTTTAGTGCTTCCTCACAAGAGTTCCTTTGAAGTTTGGAAACCACTGGATTAGACCTCTTAAGATGCTCCTTTCCAATTCAAAGATCATAGTAATTTGAATCTCCAGTGCCTCAAGCAGACGTATTTCTAAGTATCAATAATTATTCTATAGAAGCGTAAGTTGAAAAATGATAGGAGATCATGCTGGATGGGTGGTACTCCAAGAGAAGGAGGTAGTCTATTGTTTTAAAATTTCAGATAATGAACTTTATTTATAGTCTATCATTTTTCTATCTTTTCTAAAAAGGACTGAAAGTGGCTTTGATTTCAACTTGTTTTGTCATGCAGGGTTTTTCCTAAACAGTGATTTTAATTTCAAAATGAAAGATAAACCAGATTGCAGTTGAGGATTTACTACAACAAAACCATTATTTAATAAGAGTTTTCAGTTAACAGTGTTAAAACAGTTCTTCCCAAACCCTGGAAGGAAAAGTCAAAAAGTTGATTTTTAACAAGGCTTTAGTATTAAAGGACAAGTTTTTCAGTACCACACTTATTTCTGTATAACTAGTTTACGTTCTTGGGTGAGATGTAAGAATGAAAAACAGGAGTTAATACTTGTACCGTCTCAGACAAGATTTTTAAATACAGTGCCAAGGAATATTTTTGCTCTGTTACAACACAAATTTAACCAGTTTCTACAGCTTTAAAGATCGCTGAGTTGAATAGATTCTCTTGAAGCAAGTGTGCAGAATAAGAACAAAAATGGATTTATAATCGTCATGTAATATTTTCATGGGACTATAATGCTTAGTTAACCTTGACAGGTTAACTCAAATTCTGTGAGGCCTAGAGTGATCACAAACAGTTAAAAGTGAATTATTTAGTTTCCACAACACAGGAAACGTTTAAAAGCCTGGTAAGGTTATTCTTTTGTCTTAACGGCTGAAAGTAAAACAAGAATAATCAGTGGCATCTTAAAGAACTAAAATTACTTTCTACTTAAAATCTCACACACTCATTATGGCTGATTTATTTTAATAGAAACTGACCATAATATTCCAAACAAGGCGTCCGTGGGTAATGTCTACAATTATGTAAATGTTAAATAGCTGCTTCAGATAAGCACCTCTTTGATGTTGAAGCAATTCACTTTATAGGATAAAAGGAAAACTTCTTCATGCCTTGGGGCACACAATGAGTACTTAGTAATGGGAAAGCCCAGTATCTTTTTAAAAGGCAATTTTTAAAAATTAAAATATTGATTTTTAAATAGGTTATACATGTGTTTGGTTAAAAAAAAAATCAAGTGATACCAATGGGGGTGCAGTGAAACCAGTCTTCCCTTCATTCTTGTCTTTCAATCCCCTAGATTTCTGTATTAGAATCAACTACTGTTAACAATTTCTTGAATCTTTCCAGACCAGTTCTTGGCATTTATAAGTTAATACCACAGAAGACTTTAAAAATAGCTTGCTTTCTCTCTAGGAAGCCGCCACCAACAGCAGCAACAACAACAACAATAATTCAGCTTGAGCTTTAAAAATACTCCAGCATGTAAAAATAGCGTAGGCTGACTAACACTGAAAAAAGAAAAGCCAGACACTATATTGTTTTCACCGTAGCTCTGCCATCATCAGAATCCTTTCCTGAAAGGTGCAACACTCAACGCTTCACCACGACGGCCACAGAGGGCAGTGTGCACCCACGGCAAAGGCGAAGGCAGAAACGGTGCAAATCTCTTCACCATTGGAGGAGGCTCTACCAGCCTCTACCCTATCCAGCTCGATTTTAGCAAGTTCTGCAGGTAAAGTGGTGTGACAGATCTACGCGATTTCATCCGGGGGCTGCTCTCGGATGCACGGTCAGTAACATGCTGACAACCTTACCGTAGTGAGGGCGCAATCCGACAACGGCAGAAAATTCAGATAAGCAGCACGATCAGAAATCCTAGCGTGCATACGATTTATCACGAAAGAGTAAAACAAAACATTCCTTTTTCAGGAATTAAATTACTGAATCTCAATTACGAATTCAGGAATAAGTGGAGAGTAGACAATGTGTCCGATTAAAATCAAAAGCAAAATTATACTGAACTTTCTAATAAAACAAATTTGAAAAAAGTGTTGTTAGGGATCAGGAAAAACACCATGATCTGTCACTCTACAGATATTAAGATACAGTGCTGAGTTACACATGCCACCGTCAATAACGCCTCAGCTGTACTCTCCATAGTTTTAAAAAAGAACATGTTAAAAAAGAACATTACAAACATGTCAACTTTCAATTTAAATCAGCAGGGGGGAAAAGGGAAGTCCTTTACTGTGTGGTGGTGCTGTTTTCCCTCTGAAAATTGAAAAGACGATTTATTCAGTCCGAGTTTCAGGAGCAACTTTGTATCCCATCCCTAATTATCTATGTATATAAATTTTCATCTAAATTACCGCCTCCTGGAAAATGCAAAGCGGGTGGAGTGTGTTTTAGAGCTCTGTGCTCTTGGCAAGCCAACTGTTTTAATTCCCGGTACAACAAATTAATAAGAACCGAACACTAGCGGCGGGGAATTCTGAGACCTCTGGGGAGCGCGAGGAGCACGGTTCCGGGGAGCGCCGTGTCCCGGGAAGCGCCCGGGCTCAGCCGGAGCAGCAGCGCTCCCCGGGGGCCTGGCCGAGCCGGGTCCGCGGCGCCCGCGCGCCGCCCCCGGAGCCCGCAGTGGTGCCGCAGCCTCCGCGGCCGCAGCAAGTGGGACCCGGCCGGCCCGGCAGGCCCCGTTCCCCGCCGCGAGGTGCAGGCGCCGCGGAGCTCTTCGAAAACGGCTGCACGACGTCACGGCCGCGGCTTTTATTGTTCGCGTGGAATTACTTCTTGCCATCACATCTGGAGAAAGAGAGGCCTTCGCTCCACGACAGGAATCTCACAACTTTGCAAACGGATGCGCGGAATTCTACCGAAGCGGCGCCAGGGCGCCGCTCGGAGGGCCCCCCTGGGCCCATGGGCCTCCTGGCCGCCTTCTCGACCCGATCCCCCTTCCCACTCGCGCCCGCGAACGTCGGCCGGACTCGCAAGGGTCGGAGGCGGCGCGCCCGGAGAGCCGGTGGAGCCGGGCAGGGCGCGCGCCCTGCGGTCCGCTCAGAGTAGCCGCGAGCACCGCCAGACAAAGAGGCGCGTCGGGTCCCGGGCGCGGGTAAGGGACGCAGGGCGGCGCGCTAGCCTCGGCCCGCAGGGGGCGCCGTCCGCGGCCCCAGCGCTGGTCCTTACCTTTGAGGACCGAGCAGAGCCGCTCCAGGGCCATGTTCCCGAGCTGCCCGGCGCTTCGCGAGGGGCTGAGGTGGCGGCGGTGGCGGCGGCGCGGCGCTCACGGCCCGGCGCGGCGGCGGTGGCCCCGCTCTGTCCCCATCGCCGGCCAGCAGCTGCCTCCCCGCGGGGTAGGGCTCAGGTCCTGCGGCCCGCCATGCCCGAGCCCCCCGGTGGGCTCCCGCGCGGCCCGAGCCCCCCGACGGGCGCCGCCTCCTGCTCCGCGTCGCCCCGTCCCATCGACCGCCCGAGGGCCGAGGGGTGAAGGCGCGCGGCGCGGGACTGGCTGGCAGCTCCGCCCGCGGCCCCGGTGCAGGATCCACTGAAGTGGCGTGCGCGGGGCGCCCAGGCTCATTTAAGCAGGGAGCGCGAGCGCCGCGTGCCGGCCGCGCTGCCTGTGCGCATGTGCCCGACCTGCCCCGCCCCGCGCCTCGCGCGCCCGCCGCGGCCTCGCGCCCTGGGACGGCTTTGCTCCCCGCCGGCTGCCGTTAGGGCTGGGGGCCGGCGGGCTGCGGGGTCCGTCGGGGGGGGGGGCGCGGGGGCGCCTCCCGCCGTGGCTGCGCAGCGGCCTCCTCCGAGAGGCTGGGCGCCGGGGCAGTGCCCGGCCTGTGCCCAGCCGCCCGCGCAGGGCGCCCGGGGCAACTGGCCGAGCCCTCGAGGCCTCTCGCCTGACGGAGGCGCCCGGGAAGCGCCGCCCACCTCGGCCCCGCGCCCTCGCCGGCCTGCGCGGTATCCGCCAGCCCTCGCAGACAGAGGGGCGCCGGCCCCTGGTCCCCTAGACCTCCATTGAAGGTCAAAACTTTGCTCGACCCGGGGCAGGGAGGCGCGGACCTCGGCAGAGGGAGCCCGAGGCTTTCCGTGCTCTTCGCGCCGGTGAGTTCCCGACCCGCGGCGCTGCCGGCGTTTCCCCGGCGCCCGCCAGGTTGACGGACACTTTAGTACCAACTCCTGAGACTCCCCCTCATGAAGTAGGTTTTAGGGAATGGGAAAGTCGAGGCCAGAGAGGTGAAACCATTCGTCCAGAGCCACACAGCGAATGAGCGGCGGGGCTGTGCACCCTCCCCACGGGCTGCCCTCTTAGCAGCTAGCCACTACGCTGGGCGGCTTCGCCCGCTGATGGGAGTCTCCAGGTCTGCCAAGAACTGCCTGGCTCTTGGTGGTATTCTTGATCCTGCTTTATTTTCTCCATAGCGATTATTACACTGATATGACATTCCTTACTTATTTGTTCATCCTTTGTATTTCCTTCACCCCCACACCATTAAGATATCAGCTGCTTGCAGGCGGGGAGACTGCATTCTTTTTTTTCACTCTACACATATGTATTGGGTGTTAATTATGTGCAAAAGACAATGATTGGTGCTGGAGATACAACCGTGATCAAGGCCTTACCATAATAGACTGTTTATGCCTGTCTCTGTGTGTGGTAGGAACTCTGTAAATGTTTAACCAATTGTAGCGAAAGACAATGTCAGGCAGCCGAAACATTTTTCAAGTATTAAGCTCTTTTCTCTTACTTTGTATTCCTCCAAGAAAGACACAAAAGCATGAATCACGAGATTTACAAAGGAAAAACATATTTAACACCAATTAATACCCAGGTGTTTCTCCCTTTGCCGTGTGCTATGGATGGGGGTATAAAAGATGGGTAAGTTTGGGTTCCTAAAGGTAACCATCTACTACAGTTAAGATTGCGTGCAAGAATCAATTAGGAAATTAAACATTTAAGAACTTTTTCCCGTGGATATAAAAAGGTGGCTCACGCATGTAATCCCAGCACTTTGGGAGACCGAGGCAGGTGGGTCACCTGAGGTCAGGGGTTCGAGACCAGACTGGCCAACATGGCGAAACCCCGTCTTTACTAAAAATACAAAAATTAGCTGGGTGTGGTGGCATGTGCCTGTAGTCCCAGCTATTAGAGAGGCTGAGGCAGGAGAATCACTTGAACCCAGGAGGCGGAGGTTGCAGTGAGTTGAGATCACACCACTGCACTCCAGCCTGGGCAACAGCGAGACTCCATCTCAAATAATAATAATAATAAGGTAGCATATTAGTAGAATAGGACAGTAAGAAGACCATATTAAGTATAAGTCACAGACAACAGTGAACCGAAAAAATTTGAGAGGAAGGGGCTCTCAAATAAGGGGCTCTTAAATTAAGAACATAGTAGGTTCTTAATGTGAAGTTGTTGACTGAAGGAAAAATCTGTGTGTGATGTCATCAGAGAAGGCTTCCTGAAGGAGGTGACACACAAACCATGGAAATGCTTGGAGTGGCGAGAGGAGAGGAGGCAGAAGAAGAGCTCAGCAGGCAGGGAGCAGGGTGAGCCTAGAACATGGGGTGAGTGTTGTGTTTTGTATTAAAGATGAGGTTGGACATGGTGGGCTTTGATTATGGAGATAGGTGCTCAAATGCTAGTTAGGTGAATGATTACTTTTAATAGTGGAGTAATGGAGTTCTGGGAAGATTCTTTTGGCAGTTGAGGTTGTAATAAAAGGGGAGAGATTAGAGCAACCACAAGAATACCAAAAGTAGATCTATAATACTTCTACATTTACATTTACTTTAGAAGCTCTTACTTGTATTATTTTGATTAAACCTAAAAAGTCTTTTCCTTTAGAATGTTGGCTTGGAAGTAGATTCCAACTGGGAATGTTCATTTTGTGGCTCCCTTTTAAGACACCTACCTTTTAGATGTGCTGGTGGAATCGTCTGCAGTCGATTTTTCGAGGAATGTAGGAAAGCACAGATCAGAGCTGAGACTACTGTGTGGCCATATGTTAGCCAAATCAAAAGGGAAGCAGTTTTCATATCTCTCACTCGGGCGTTCTGTATTTGAATTATTATTTTCCTGGAAGATCACCCAGTGGCACCCAGTCTGTTCCCAGATTACCTGGCAGTTTCCGGGTGACTGAGGACTCGGCTTTCCTTGTGTCCTGCTGGTCTCCCAGGCATCCATTCAGGCCCTCCAGCTCCTCACAGTCATTCCTATAGCTTGAATTGGGTTTTCTCTAAGTCTCATGTAGTACTTGAATGGTATTGCATGGCATTTACTTGTTACTAGAATGAATCTTTTTTTTTTTTTTTTTTTTTTGAGATGGAGTCTCACTCTGTCACCAAGGCTGGAGTGCAATGGCTCCATCTCTGCTCACTGCAACCTCTGCCTCCCGGGTTCAAGCGATTCTCCTGCCTCAGCCTCTCAAGTAGCTGGGATTACAGGTGCCTGCCACTACACCTGGCTAATATTTTTCTTTGTATGTTTAGTAGAAATGGGGATTCACCATGTTGGTCAGGCTGGTCTTGAACTCCCAACCTCAGGTGATCTGCCTGCCTGGGCCTCCCAAAGTGCTGGGATTACAGGTGTGAGCCACCACACCCGGCTGATGAACCATTTTTTAAAAGAAAGCATTGTATTGCCATTGTTGATACACTTAACAGATTTTTGTTGTGTCTCTGTTTTGCTGTTGTTTGGGAGTGTTAACATTTTATTACATTACAGCCGAGGAAAGCAGGTTGTTGCGTTTGGAGATTGTTACTGTCTGTGTCCCCTCCTAGTTCATATGTTGAAGCCCTAACCCGCAGTGAGGCTGTATTTGAAGAGGAGGGCCTTCAGGGAAGTAATTAAGGTTAAATGAGGCCGTATGGGTGGGTCCCTGATCTGAAAGAAATAGTGTCCTGTTGGGAAGAGACATCAGAGAGCCTGCTGTCTCTTCATGCACAGGCACCAGGAAAGGCCATGTGAGGACACAGCAAGAAGGCAGTCATCTGCAAGCCAGGAAGAGCGTCCTCATCAGAAACTGAATTGGCTCCTGCCTTGATCTGGGACTTCAGCCTCCAGAACTTTGAGGAAGTACGTCTGTTGTTTCGGCTACCTAGTCTATGGTATTTTGTTGTGGCAGGCTGAACCAGCTAATACAGAGATTATAACTAAGGAAAGTAGAGGAATTTTAAAAGAACCAAACTTTTATGTGCAGAAACTATTTGTATATAATATGGATCTTGAACTTTACAGGGTGCAAATATGGCTACAGCAATGGTGACGTTTAGTGAAAAACAATCAGGTGGGTTCTCAGTATATGAAGATTTCAGTGTTTATTACACAACTGTAGGTTTTTTAGGGGGGGAAGATGGTAGTTTTTAAAAAGTGCATTCTATTAGTCTGCTCAGGCTGCCGTGGCGGAATTACAGTGTAGCTATAGACTGGGTGACTTACAGTGTAGAAATGTATTGTCTCAAGTTCTGAAGGCTGGTTTCTGCTGAGGCCTCTCTCCTGGCTTGCGGACTGTCACCTTCTCACTGTGTCTTCAGTGGCCTTTTACTCTTTCTGTGCGCACCCCTGGTCTCTTCCTCTTCTCATAAGGACACCAGTCCTATTGGATTAGGGTCCAACCCTTCTGACCTCATTTAACCTTAATTATTTCCTTAAAGGCCCTGTCTCCAAAAAGTTATATACAGGGGTAGGGCTTTGACATGTGAATTTGTGGGAAATGCAATTCAGCCTATAAAATGCATGAACCACAATCATTCCTGTGTTATTGATATTGAAGAAGAGCTGTCAGGGAGTCAAAGAGTTCTTTCAGTAACACTGTCCCCTAAACTTCTAAATTTCTGGTTAGCATAATTTTAAACAAAGAATGCTTTTAAGAAACATTGCTTTCTACTAATACTAAAATATTTCTTCTTTACCAGGAAAATTTCAAATTGTTAAGAAAATTTCTGGTCATTAGGAGAGAGGCCTCAGCAGAAACCAGCTTTCATTTGATTGTGAAAAACTAAGAAATGCCCTAATTTTAGTCATGTGCTGCATAACGACCTTTGGGTGAATGATGGACCACATACACAACTGTGGTCCCATAAGATTATAATACCATATTTTTACTGTACCTTTTCTATGTTTAGATATAATTAAATGTACAAATACCATTGTGTTGTAATTGCCTACACTATTCAGTACAGTCACATGCTGTACAGGTTTGTAGCATAGGAATAATATGCTAAACTGTAGAGCCTAGGTGTGTAATAGGCTACACCATCTAGATGTGTGTAAGGACACTCCATGAAGTTTGCACAGTGATGCATTTCTTAGAATGTATGTCTGTTGTTAAGTGACATATGACTGTATATTTCTAAGAATAAAGTTACTAACATATATGGTATCTTCTTCTTTAAAACCAGAATCCCATGTTGAAAAGAGATGTGTTTTCTTAAACCTGTTTACTTTCTAACCTGGTGTTCTTTTATTAAAAAACAACACCCCCCTCTAAAGAAAACCGTATTTACTAAAAGCTGAAACAAATGCTATTTTATTGGCACAATATGAAACCATAAAGTGTAAATTCTTGATACAGTTATTTGGTAATGTTTGTTAAATAATAAAAATTTCTTATAAATTCAACTTAAGGGCTTAATGAACTATGAATATCTGTGCTGGCTTATATGCTTACGCTATTTAAAACAAACATGACTGGAATGCATCTATTCAACTATATGTCACTGTTATTGTTATATTTTTGAGAAAGGTATATCAAAATTATTGTACTGTTAACAAATCTCAAACTATTTTGTGCTATAAAATATGTAATCTAAGACTTGTAATGAAACTTCTGTTTCTGGATATATGATCTACAAAGGGATCTTTGGGAAAGTTTTATAAGATTTTTTTTAAAAATTGTGAAATATAATCCATATTTAGAAAAGCACCTTAAACAAATACGTATGTACAATTTAATAAAGTGAAGGGCCATGAAAATACTACCCAAATCAAGAAATGAAACATCGCTTATGTACTAAAGTCCTCCATGTGCCTCTGCTTGGTCATAATCTTCTCCCCAGTTCCCTAGAGTTTATCACTGTTCTGACTTTTGTTGTTTCCTACCTTTTCTTTGTAGTTTTTAAAATAAATATATCCTTAAACAATATAGTTTAATTTTTCTTGTTTTGGAACTTTATATGTATGCGTGGATCATGATGTGTGTATGCTTTTGTGTTTTGCTTTTTGGCTTAACTTTGTGAGATTAATCCATGTGGTGTGTGCAAGTATAGTTCATGAAATGTCCTGGCTGTATAGTATTTCATTGTATAAAAATCCATGTAGATGGATATTTAGGCATTTTCTAGATTTTGGCCATTCTGAACATAGTTGCTATGAATATTTTTATACCTATAGCCTGGTGCACGTGTGTGAGAATTTCTTAAGAGTAGAAGTGATATGTAGATTTAGAGTATGCATATCTTCTACTCTAAATCAACCACTGCTTTTACTTTTTTTTTTTTTTTAAACTTTGCCCTGCTAAGAGTGTATCAGACTTTTGTTGTGCCATATCCATACCAACATTTGGCTATTGTCAGCAGTTAATGCTTTTTGTCAATCCTTTTGCTCAATTTTTTATTGAACTGTCTTTCTTTCTAAATAATTTTGTAGGATTTCTAGATTTTGAATACAGTCATTTTTATTTGTTGAAAATATCTTCATTTGGTGACTTGTCTCGTCACACTTTCAAACTTCTTATAGTTCTTGTGGATAGAGTTACTAATTTTAATATACTTCAATATATCAGAAATTTCCTTTATAGTTTTTTTAATGAATAGGAAACCCACCCTCACTCTAGTATCATGAAGTTATTAAGTACTAGAAGCATTCGTATTTCACCTTCAATCCACCTGGAATTGATTTTTCTGTGCGATGGGAGTGCCGTTATCTTTTAGTTAATGAATTGTCTCAGCTTATTTATTGTTAAAAGGCTGTTCATATTCCTCTGCTCTGTGGTGTTACCTCCTTCCTGAATCAAACGTCCATGTATATGAGTCTTTCTCTGCACTCTCTAATATGTTCCATTGGCCTATCTCTTCACCAGTACCACACTCTGTTAATCACCTTAACCCTTTTTTTTTTTTTTCAGAGACAGAGTTTCGCTCTTGTTGTCCAGGCTGGAGGGCAATGGCATAATTTGGCTCACTGCAATGTCTGCCTCTTAGGTTCAAGCAATTCTTCTGCCTCAAGACTCCCGAGTAGCTGGGATTACAGGCGTGTGCCATGACGCCAGGCTAATTTTTGTAGTATTAGTGAAGACAGGGTTTCACCATGTTGGCCAGTCTGATCTCAAACTCCTGACCTCAGGTGATCCAACCATCTCGGCCTCTCAAAGTGCTGGGATTACAGGTGTGAGCCACCATGCCTGGCCTAATCACCCTAACTTTATTATTTTGTTACCTGGTAGAGCAGGTCCTTGTTCTTTTTCAAGATTATCTTGGCTGTTCTTGTTCTTTTATATTTCCGTATACATTTTAGAAACCTCTTAACAAGCTCAGCAACACAACACCCCATTGGGATGAGTGGAGTTGGGAGAGCTTCGACATCTCTACCATTTTGAGTCTTCCTGTCCATTAACATGGTACAGATGTGCATTTATTGAAAATTTCCTTAGTGTTTCTCAGAAAAGTTTTATAATTTACCAGAGATGTGTACCACATCCACATTAGCACTTTGAATTGTCAGCATTCTTTGTTTTATCCGTGAAAGCATTCTTTATTCATGATAGATATGTAGTGGTATCTCTTCATAGTTTAGTATTCATTTCCCTAATGGCTTATCCTGTTGAACATCTTTTCATATGCTTATTTGCTACCCATATATCCTCTTTATTGAAGTATCCTCAAATTATTGCCCACTCAAATTGTTTTTTATTTTTACTGGTGAAAAGATGTCTATTTAGAATTAGCCAGCTGGACTTAGTTTAGATGATTCCAATTTTGTTGGCAACATCCAAAGCATCATAAACAGGAGCCAGTCAAACACACGCCTTCTCTCCACTGGGCCTGATTGATCAGGCCACATCAGTGTCACAGATCTGCTCCACATCCTGTTCGCTCTGCTGCTTGTTGGCTTTGCCATCCACAATGACCTCAAGTGTGTCGTTATCTTCTGTCTTCTTCATGGCACACTCAATGGTCAGGGGGAATCAGGCAGAGTAGTCAAGCTTGTTTCTCCTGGAGGCACTCTTCTGAGGGTATCTGGGTTGTCTCTAGAGCTGTAGTGTTTTGAGGTGCTGGAAGGTGGGTGAAGTGCAGACACCCCTTTTTGTGTGTGGCTGTGGATGCTTTCCAGCACTGCCTTCTTGGCCTTCAAAGCTTTTGCTTTGGTTTCAGCTTTGGGAGAGGCAGGAGCTTCCTTAGGTGTCATCTTGTCCCAGTTTTTGTATTGTTGAGTTTTGAGAGTTCTTTATAGATTCAGATACAAGTCTGTTGTTGGATATGTGATTTGAAAATATTTTCTTGGCCGGGCACGGTGCCTTATGGCTATAATCCCAGCACTTTGGGAGGATGAAGCAGGTGGACCACTTGAGGTTAGCAGTTTGAGACCAGCCTGACCAACATGGTGAAACCCTGTCTCTACTAAAAATACAAAAATTAGCCAGGCATGGTGTCACACACCTGTAGTCCCAGCTACTTGGGAGGCTGAGGCAGGAGAATTGCTTGAACCTGGGAGGCGGAGGCTGCAGTGAGCCGAGATCACACCATTGTACTCCAGCCTGGGTGACAGAGCATGACTCCATCTAAAAAAAATTTTTTTTTTCTTTGCACATATAGCTTGTCCATTCTCTCAGAAGTGTCTTTGTCAAAGCAAACATTTTTAATTTAGATGAAGTCACATTAGTTTTTAAAAAGAATCATAACTTTGGTGTCATTTCTAAGAACTCTGCTTAACCCTAGCCTATGAAGATATTCTATGTGTTCTTTTAAAGTTTTATAGTTTTACATTTTATATTTAAATTTATGACCCACTTTTAGTTAATTTTTGTGTCAGGTGTGAGGTTTAGATCAAGGTTCTTTTTTTCTCCTTTGCCCTTTGTATTTATGGCAAATACCGATGATCAATTTTTCTGACACTGTTTGTTGAAAAGACTGACTTCCACTTAGTAACTTCTACATCTTTGTCAAACATCAAATGTCTGTATTTGGGTGAGTTTATTCCTGGACTCTATTTTATTCCATTGGTCTATGTGTCTCTCTTTGCCAATACCACACGGTCTTTATTACTTTAGCTTTATAACAAGTTTTAAAGTCACATAGTTTGATTTCTTCAACTTTGTCTTCTTTTTCAACATTGTTTTAAACTAGTCTATTTTCTCCTTCATATAAGTTGCACAAAATCTTGTCCATGTCCACAAAAAGATGCTGCTGGGATTTTGATAGGGATGGCGTGAAATGTACAGATCACTTTGGGGAGTATTGGCATCTCCTAATCCATGAACATACTGACTTTCTATTGAAGTCTTCCTTGGTTTCTTTCATCACGTTTCTTCTTTAATATGTGCATCTAATGTTATAAATACCACCCCCCAGCACTGCCTCCTACAAATTTTGTTATGTTGTATTTTTCATTTGGCTCAAAATATTTTAAAATTTCCTTTGAGGCTTCCTGTTTGACCCTATGGTTATTTAAAATATCTGGGTATTTTCCATGGATCTCCCTAGTTCAATTCTATTATAGTCTGATAATCTACTTTGTATGATTTCTATTCTTTTAGATTTGGTAGGACTTGTTTTATGGCCCAGAATATGGTCTGTCTTGGTAAGTGTTCCATGTGCACTGAAAAAGAGTATTTTGCTGCTGTTGGTGAGAGTGTTACATAAATATCCACTAGGTTAGATTGACTGAGTGCTTTTCAGGTCAGCTCTAAGCTTTCTGATTTCCTGCCTACTTTTTCCTTCAGTTACCGTAGAAAAGTGTGGATGTCTCCCACTTAAATCGTGAGTTTGTCTGTTTCTCCTTACAGGTCTGTCGGCTTTTACTTTTTAGTTTATGAACACTTAAGATTTTTATGTTAAGAAGAGGGGACTGATCTTGGGTGACTCTGCTCTCCAGATGAGGCTGGCAGATGAACAGTGATGACACGCCCAGAAATTAGGATAGTAAGTCCTTTATTCTTGATGCTGGATCTGGACACTACACCACAGCATCCACCAGAATGAATATTTAGGGTTTTGTTTCTTTTTATGTTTTAGTGATATCTTCCTAGGAATTGTTCCATTTTGTATAAACTTTCAGATCCATTGGTATAAAGTTATTCTCCAAGTCTTCCTACTTTTAATAAATAGATTATCTGTAGTTATACCCTTTTCATTTTTGATACTGGTTATTTGTACCTGTTTTCGTTTTGTTAGAGGCCTTTGGGGCATCCTGTGCCCTGTAACTGATGAATGTGAGAATGTAAAGGCCCAGCCTTCATATTCTAACTTGGGGCAGGTTAGGAGATAGGAGAGGTCATCCTATCTCAGAACTCGATGTAGGGTTGTTATGAGGCATTCCATTGAGAATGCATCACAATTTGATTTTTCTGCCTAATCTTGTTTCCTTCCTTTCCCTTGTACAGTTGTGGATCAAAAGCACTCCCTAATCTACTATCTATTAGCCTTTTAAAATAACTGGTCAGGTGCAGGTAATCACAAGGGCTGGTTTTAATTCACGTTTATCCTGAGGAGTAAGCCCTTAAATATCCTAGATCAATCCCAGGTATACCATCGAGGTCTGCTGGACACGATTTAAGTTTTTGTTTCTTTTTATGAGGTATTCTAGCTACTTGCAAGGATGGGGAAATGTAAAGGGCTAGTTCTAATAAATGGTGTATTAATGTATTTACAGTATCTTCAAAATGATTATTAATTCTTAATTACTCTTCCTAGCTCCCCAAAGATGGATAACACTAACATATAGTCAGTGGGAAAGAAATCTCAGAAAATGTTCATTTGTCACTGTAATGGGAAATGGGAAGGAAGAAAAACAGCACTTATCAAGCATTTTCTATGTACAAACTGCCATTTCAGACTCAGAGCAGTCCTTGAAGGTAGGTATCACTCACTATCTTTGTTTTACAGATGAAGAAACCAAAGTTCAAAGAAGTGACTGATTCAGAGTCAT